CAGCTGTCAAACGGACTGCCAGTTTTTATAAAAATCAGAGAATCTTTTTAAAAACGTTACTGATAAGGTTTTTAAACATGCTGATCACGAATTTTACGTCAAATTAAAGCTTTGAGAGTTGACAGCTTGCAAATTGACTTAATTTTTCTGATAATAAGAAAATGTTTTTAAATGCTACTGGCAAGGATTTTAGACACGCTAGTCACGAATTTTACGTCAAATTAAAGCTTTGAGAGTTGACAGCTTGCAAATTGACTTAATTTTTCTGATAATAAGAAAATGTTTTTAAATGCTACTGGCAAGGATTTTAGACACGCTAGTCACGAATTTTACGTCAAATTAAAGCTTTGAGAGTTGACAGCTTGCAAATTGACTTAATTTTTCTGATAATAAGAAAATGTTTTTAAATGCTACTGGCAAGGATTTTAGACACGCTAGTCACGAATTTTACGTGAAATTAAAACCTTGAGATTTGACAGCTGTCGAATGGGCTATCAATTTCTCTAAAAATAACGAGAATTTCCCAAGAAGTAAACGTACTACGTTTTAAGGCTCACTGATCTCGAGTTCTATATTACATTCAAACTTTTTCAGTTTAAATCTGTCAAATCAACTGTCATTTTTAGTTGAGTAACACAATATATTTGTTAAGCAAAATGACTGATTTATTGTATTTGATCGAACATATTTAAAATGAAGTTATGATCAAATTATGAATTAACAACAATAATTACTTATATTTATAAATAGGAAATAGTTGGGGCCGGCTATATGTTCAGCCCAAACAATTTTTTAAGATTTTTATTTTTATTTTATACCAAATTGGTGATTCTCTAAACTAAAGTTTTCTCATTTTTAAATAACGTTATTCAGGTTTGATTTTTTGTAAATGAGAAATTTAAAAAAAATATATAAAACCTGGGGGCTAGTTAAAATTTCTGGGCGGAACACATAGCAGATGGCCCCAACTATCACCAGTTCACGTATGTTCAAACGTCTACCAAACACACTGTATTAACTAATATTACAGACAACAAATTAAAATAGAAATGACGAAATATTTTTTCACTCATTTCTGCCACTTTCAATTAAAACCGATGCGTTTTGAGTTGTTTCACGCAAAAGACAGATAACTTCTTCGGAAATGGCATCTGCTTTTCGAAGGGGGGGTCGTCTCATACTGGATATAACAGGATCAGATGTTATAATTAACATGTGAAATAAATCTTCGTTATATTCCTTCCTAGCCATTTTTCGAGTGATATGCTCGCGATACCATCTGAAGTCTTTGTTGCCAGCCTCCTGGGCTTCCTCAGAAAAATGCGCTACTGGCAAAGGCATACCAAAGGTAATACCAAATGTCATGAAAATTTAGTAATTTTTTAAATTCTTGGACGCCATACTGGATACAGAAGAATAACAGATGTGTCCAGTAAGGAAGGGCGTAATAATTCGGTAACGATAACTTCCGATAACAGCCTTCGGAGTTGCCATGAATGCGAACCTCTAAATAGCAAATTTCAAAAAAATTAAACAATTTATTTAAATCTCGGACGCCATATTGAATTTTGAATTTTCTAAAACTAGTTTGAAATTTGTAATAAGCGAACTTAAGAACCTCAAAATACCAAATTTAATAAAATGCAGTAATTTTTTTAATTCTGCTACTGCTAAAGTTGGTCTAGTGTAATAAAAATGGCCGCCAATCTTTTTGGCGCGAGTATGCGCGGCTTTTCTTTTCGTAAATCCTTAACGGACCCTTTGCATTACTTTTTGCTAAAGGAATGAAGATCCTACTCCGCTCTACTCATTAGTTATACCGCTTTGAAGAAAATATTTCTTGAAAAATAAGCCGCGTTTTTTAATAAAAATGGCCGCCACTCTTTTTGGCGCGAGTATGCGCGGCTATTCTTTTCATACATCCTTAAAGGATCCCATGCATTACTTTTTGGTAAAGGAATGAAGATCCTACTCGGCCCTAAAAATTAGTTATACGTTTTGAAAAAAATATTTCTTGAACAATAATCCGTGTTATTAAGATATTCATAATTTGGCAACAAAATTTTAATTTAAAGCTTTCATAAAAAAATTGTTAAAAAAGCTATCAACTTCTAACTGTTAGAACAAGCCACGATCGAATATAGGGGCCCTATAACAGCAGCGTGTGCAAAGAAATTATTATTATTATTTATTTAATATGGCTCTCCTGAGCCTAATTCATTATTCAATATATGTAGATAGACTTAACCTAGTTAGTGTCCGCCCAGCGGTTGAAATTCAACCTTTTAAATTAAGGGTAGTCGAGGTGGGCTGAGGTGTGCTGAGCTAAGTCGAGTTGGGTTGACTGAAGTAAATTGAGGTGAAATACGTTGAAAAACATAATAGAATATAAAATAACATAACACAATACAAAACAATACAACAAAACGAAACATAAAACAATAACACAACACAACACAACACAACACAACACAACACAACACAACACAACACAACACAACACAACACAACACAACACAACACAACACAACACAACACAACACAACACAACACAACACAACACAACACAACACAACACAACACAACACAACACAACACAACACAACACAACACAACACAACACAACACAACACAACACAACACAACACAACACAACACAACACAACACAACACAACACAACACAACACAACACAACACAACACAACACAACACAACACAACACAACACAACACAACACAACACAACACAACACAACACAACACAACACAACACAACACAACACAACACAACACAACACAACACAACACAACACAACACAACACGACACAACATAACACAACACAATACAATACAACACAACACAACAAAACGCAATAGAAAACAATACAATACAACACAACACAATACAACACCATACAACACAACACAATACAACACAACACAACACAATACAACACAACACAACACAACACAACACAACACAACACAACACAACACAACACAACACAACACGACACAACACAACACAATACAATACAACACAACAAAACGCAATTGAAAACAATACAATATAACACAACACATCACAACACAACATAACATGTCATTCTTCAATTTTATCTTTTTCTCTTTTTTGTCTCTACCTTTTTTTCTATTTTTGTCTCTGCCGTTTTTTATCTTTTTATTTTTATATTTATTCCTTCCTTGACTTTAATTCAAATCTGTATCTGTATTCTTCTCTTTATCTAAATACTAGCCAATGCCCGCTTGCTTCGCGGCACCTAATAAGATCTTTTGCGTTGGCGAATACAAAAATAGCGTTTAAAAGCAAATGCGGTCTGTAAAGTAAACATTTTTAGTTTAAATTGAGACGAATAAAGAGCAAAATCCACCTCATACATAGGCCAAGAATAGTAGCGCTGTGATACCATATGGAATACTAATCCCTTTCGATGTCATGAGTTTTACCGATGGTCTTATTTCCACCTATGAGATCTCTGTCAAGCGTGCGGAATATTCTTCTATGATCTTGCAAATTCAACATTGGTCCGATGTACAATGTAAGCCAATAAAAGTCCTTATATGGAAACTAAAGAGCACGGATGAGCATTTTCAGTTATAGGACGGCCAATAATCCTGCCCTCCCACAGGATAAAAAGTTTTCCCGTACATTGACTAAATGAGTCATGTGATCTCTTATGAAGCCATTGAGATACCTACCGTGTTCCTTTTTTACGGATGTGGTCGAATCTTTCCTTGTCAATTTGCCCCTTTTACAATTTTCCTTAATATTTATGAACTGGTTTCTTTGAGTCTTACTGCCGTACTAACGGCCGCTCCGAGCAATTTCGTCAATCGGAGGTAGGTGAAAGATCGCATTTAGGGTGTATGAGGGCATCAGACAAAGGTGCGCTTACACAATGTTGCGGTCTTTACATACATACTTAAACGAATCCTCCATTTAGCCATATGAAAAGTAAATTCGTCTAAGATGAATAACGGGCCAAAGCAGATCAAACCCCGTGTGGGTTTCTATATATTTCGGCTGCAGCGCAGTCCATTAGGCCCCTTTTCTGTAAAACCACTGCTTGTCAAGAAATGAATACGCATTATGAATTGCAATCAGATTTTATAAAATATAGCGGGTTCATTTTTAGGAAACGAATTTTTCATCATACAGGTGGCTCACTTTGCGAATTTGAACTAAATCGGTTAATAAATACGACTTTTATAAGTAACTCTACTCCAGCGCCACCAGCGTGTTGTCTAATGGGCAATAATAGGAATATATGCAAGGTATAACCTCCGACAATTTGACTGGTCTTTGAGTTTAGTCCGAACAACGAAAACGGCTATCATTTTATGTATGTATGTACATATATATTTAGAATGAAAAAAAAATCATCATGAAAGTAATAAACGTGTCGAATTTGTAATAACAAAATCGGTTCATAAATAGAGCTTTTATCGGGTCCATTTTTCGCAAATGCTTTTTTCATCATGCAGGTAGCTTATGGGTCGTTCCATATCATTTTTGCAACTAAAAAATAGATTGGCCTGAAACATTTTTTTTTATAAACTGGATGCAATATAAATCGACACGTATTTTTTTATTTCGCAAATTATGCGAAATTTGCGAGTAATAATTTTTTAAAGTTTTGATATACGAAAAAATACGATGATTTTAAGGTCCTTCAAATCATTGTAGTTTCTAAACGAATTCTTATAAAAAAGTGAAACTTATAGGTTATGTTAATAATCGTTAGTACTCTTTAAGTACACAAAAATAAAAAAAATATATTTTTTTTTTTATAAAAATTTTTTTTTTTTAGTTTTTATACATAAATGTATATAACTAAAAATGGGACTCTTTAAATTTGTTGATTTTAAAACTAAATAAGCTCTACAGTTTTAAGAATATCTCCTAAAAATTTCAGAGTGGGAGGTTAAGTGGTTTCTGTCCACCAGCCAATTCTTTATAGTCATTTCAGCTCTTTTCTCATATAAAGTGCACCTAAGAACAGTAGCATACAGTTTGTTTATGTTTTTTGTGAAACATTTTGTATGAGTTGGTATTTTTTTTTTAATATTAAAATTAAGCATCTCAAACTATATAACAAGTTTCAGTTTAACGTAAAAATACATGCTGATTTTTTATAACGAACCCCTAAGCAAGAAAAAATTATAAATACTTTTCAAAATCGCTTTCCATACTTCATTTTAGAACTTTTATTTATGTATATTAGACTTTTATAAAATCGCTCACTGAGTTTTTACACGCAAAAATAATAATACATAGTTTGTAAAATAAAAAAGAATTCATGAAATAATAATAAGGATAATATAAATTGTTAAATTTGTTGTGATGTATTTTTTAAGAAGTTTACGATTTGAAATTTTTCGCTGCTGGAGTATGTTTTCACTTTTAATTTGTGGTCGGTTTCAGCTTTAACAAAATGAAGCTTTTGGGTACCTGGTATAGTTTTGCAACTCTCAAACCGCACCTTCAAGAATGCAGCTGCAGTTTCGTAATCAGTTTCGCTGCAAAATGCTATTTCGATACTGGGAAAAGTGCCATCTTGCAGAGCCCACTCATACAGTTGATATGCAGTGGTTATTTGATGTTCTGAAGTCATCTGGAGGCTAGCTTTCCTTGCTTTTCTTTTTAAAGCTCCCCCTGCTCCATCGCATGGACCTTTTCCATGGGCAGTGGCATGAAAGTGCCATTCCGCAGATCGGCCAAAGTCATTTTCATGATTGTATATAGTTGTAAAGTGTTTGACATTTTTAAATTGTTGCGGCGCTCCGTCAGAGAAATAAATGCATTTGCGAATATTTGCATTGAAACGTGATAACCATTCATTAAAAGATTTTAAAAATACATACACGGCTACCGAGTCATGTTTTTTACAATCGGAAATAAAAATAAGTGTTTGATGATTAATTTTCCCACCATCGTTGTAATAGAACACAATTGGAAAAATCGTTGCCTGGTCATTATTCCAATGAAATCCAGTAACAGCGTTCTGGACAATAAAGGCATAGTTTTCAGCAAAATCGCAAGTGACTAAGCATTGGTCGATCTCTAAGTTGTTTTTCAAAGTTTTATAATAATTGGCTTGCTCCTTTGCTATAAATGAATGCATTAGAAATGTTTCGCTAGCCAAACAATAATTTTGGATAAACGTTTCGGTAGAAATACAAATGGTTTTCAACGTTGTCCTAGGTTGTGAATTCCAATTTTTGTAAGTAACTTCATTAATTTCGTATTTTTGAAATATTGCACTAATCAAACCCTCCAGTGTTTTTGAGATTGAACACTCCTTGCACATATTGAAAAAACATTCCTCCTTCGGATTGGGACACAACGACAGCATTATAACATCTTCGTAATTAACTACTGGATATTCCTCTTTTTTCATTAAAAGCACCAAATTACTGCCTAAAAATATTGAAAACACATAAATATACACATAATTAATAATTTTTGCATGTAAATTTTCCAAGAATTTCTTACCTAATGTCATAAGTTTTATGTTTTCATGGATAGGGCACGTGCAGACGTTATGCGTGCCTCCAGAACCTGCTAAAATGCAATGTGGTGGTCTAAGAGAACAAAATTTGGATAGGCCAATTGCCACATTAGGATTATCTTTAACGAATTTTGAATAAATTTCTTTCAGATTCCCTAACACAAGACGTTTTTGAAAAATTACAGATTTTCCATCGATTTTAACAGATTTCTTATCTTTCTGTCCTGGCATGAGAGAACTTATGTCATCGTGCTCGAAATATTCTTTGACCATACTTATTGTTTCTGCAGAAAGAGCCTTTTCTATAAAAATTTTGAATTTGTTAAGTGCTTTTTATATTAAACGCAAATCCCATCTTACTATTTCCTTTGCTATTCACAGAATGAATGTTAATTTCCCGAAATTTTCTTGCCTTTGAGACAATGTATCGAGAAGTATTCATCATTTTTGCTGTCTTGTTTATACTCCATTTTATATCTAAAAGTTTTAACAGCTCAATTTTTTCTTGGGGAGTTTTGCCAGGATTATGAAATTGAGCTTTTATTTCTGAAAAAAACTGGGTACTGTACCCATTTTCCTCCTAGAAATCAAATTAATGCTTGAAATATGCTAATGAAGTATGACACTAGTTACTTACCTCACTGTCAGAATCGTAAAGGGAATCACCGTCATCAGTATCAGAATAATAATCCGATTCCTCACAAATTGATGCGGAGTCCTTAAAATTATTTATATCACGTCTACAAGAGTCACACAAAAGATCTGTCGGGCACAAGGATTTGAACCTTTCACAAATATTCTTTGACGGTCGACGCAAATTATTTTTATGGACTTTTGAAGCGTGCGATTTTTTTTTAAAAGGATTACAACAAATGTTCTTGAACTTCCTTGTAGACATTTTATAAAACAGAATTTAAAATTAACTGAGCTATAATTCGTAACTAAAATTCCAAAGTGGTTGTGGTTCAAAAGTGCTCCTCAGAAAAAACCGTATACATAGGTGCCCGAATTTCTTATTTTAATGACAAAAAAAGATGTCAGCATGACTAATACGTCATCCGCCTGTTGAGTTATGCACTAGAATGCTGCTAAAATGAAGTATGGAAAGCGATTTTGAAAAGTATTTATAATTTTTTCTTGCTTAGGGGTTCGTTATAAAAAATCAGCATGTATTTTTACGTTAAACTGAAACTTGTTATATAGTTTGAGATGCTTAATTTTAATATTAAAAAAAAAAATACCAACTCATACAAAATGTTTCACAAAAAACATAAACAAACTGTATGCTACTGTTCTTAGGTGCACTTTATATGAGAAAAGAGCTGAAATGACTATAAAGAATTGGCTGGTGGACAGAAACCACTTAACCTCCCACTCTGAAATTTTTAGGAGATATTCTTAAAACTGTAGAGCTTATTTAGTTTTAAAATCAACAAATTTAAAGAGTCCCATTTTTAGTTATATACATTTATGTATAAAAACTAAAAAAAAAAAAATTGTATGAAAAAAAAAATATTTTTTTTATTTTTGTGTACTTAAAGAGTACTAACGATTATTAACATAACCTGTAAGTTTCACTTTTTTATAAGAATTCGTTTAGAAACTACAATGATTTGAAAGACCTTAAAATCATCGTATTTTTTCGTATATCAAAACTTTAAAAAATTAATTTATTTTATTTAATTAAAATTAATTTCGCATAATTTGCGAAAATAAAAAAATACGTGTCGATTTATATTGCATCCAGTTTATAAAAAAAAATGTTTCAGGCCAATCTATTTTTTAGTTGCAAAAATGATATGGAACGACCCTTATACTTTGAATTTCAACGAAATCGGTTCATAAATACGACTTTTATAAATAACTCGACTCCCTCGCCACCTAGCGGGTCTATTTTTGGTAAACGTATTTTTCATCATGCTGTTAGCTTACATGTTGAATTTAAAAGAATTCAGTTCATAAATACGATTTTTATAAATAACTCGCCCCAGCGCTCTTTTTCGCATACGTATTTCTCATCATGGAGGTAGCACACATTTTGAATGTGAAAATTTGAACGAAATCGGTTCATAAATACGACTTTTATAAATAACTTGACCGCAGCGCCACCTGGCGAGTTTTCTGGTAGCCTATAATAGGACCATATATGCAAGGTATAACCTCTGAAAATTTTACTGAAATCTATGCAGTAGTAGTAGTCCGAACAACGAAAACGGCTATTATTTTATATATATAAATTCTTCCACACCTTTGCTATTATATTAAGTATTTAAATTTACCTTCTCCTTTGTCTTTATGTTAAGGCTTCTTTACTTTTATTTTAATCTCTGCATTTATCCCTTTCTTCCTCTACATACTCGACTTTACCTTCTTCCTTGCTTGATTCTTAATCGATTCATGTTCATACATACATCTTATTCCTAAACTGCTGCTTAGGACGTTTCTGTAATTCAGAAATTAAAGCATACATTTAAGAGGCATTTCTGGTGCAACCCTATACATGTATGACATTGGTATTGGTGTCGCTTTTGAACAGATTTTTTCGCTTAATGTTAAAGTTATTTGAAATTTAAAAACTGTCTGCACATCAGGATCAAGATACCTTTCTAATGATGTATAATCGTTTATACCTAGGAAGTATAGTTTAGCCGTAAAAGGGGTGTAAAGAAAACATGACTGCCTATTTATATATAAGACTAACAGACCCAGCGAACTTCGTCCGGCCCAAATTTTTTATTTTTTTATTGAAACTTTTTGGTCCAACATTTTCACCAAACTATTCACGTTTACGATTTTCATTGGCACGGTCATCTGCAAAGATTATGGCTTAGTGGTCATTTGCCGCTTTAAATAACCTAAGGAAAGTGTTATATCCGTGAAGAAGTTCTTGAAATTCTCCAACTGTGCAGCATTACATAGCACGGTTATTCGCAAAACGAAACAAATTTGAAGAATTTTTTCCCCTTCACTCCCTGGCGGCAACAATGACCCGGTTCTGTAGTGAATGTCCTAGAAGCTTTACAGTATAGTTGGTGGCAATTTCAAAATGGGTGTGAATCATTGTTCTACATAAATGCAATATACATACATCTACTTATTTCAGACGAAATACCCTAAAAGCTTGAATGGAAAAACACATTTATTGGGCCAATCGTAACATAGGAGAGTTCGATATACTCAATGGTGCAACAGGTCGATTTAATCTGATCTTCACGGCACCTTTTCTCACTTGGCTATTTTTAGTAATAACTCGACTCCAGCGCCACTTGGCGGCACGTTTTTGCAATAGTATTGCTCTAACCATTACCAATACATGTTTAAAATATTAGCCAAATTGGATCATAAATAAGATTTTTTTAGTAACTCAACTAACTAACTAAACAACTCAAACACGCACAAAAAATTTCGTTAAAATCCCTACAACCATTTAGGAGGATTTCACTTACAAACACACTTACAGAATAATTATAAATACATTCAAAGTTAGCTAAAAGTCGGTAGGTTTGTAGGCCTCACGCCCCCTTTTCAAATAGCGCCAATTTTCTTCATAAGTATGGGCTTGATTTCATTTACATACATATCTCCATACTAAGTTTCAGAACTATACCATGAACACTTCCAGAGATATGCAGTATGAAAAATTCGGTTTGTATGGGAGGTGCCACGCCCCCTTTACATATAGATTTTTTTAGCCTAAAACCATCCTTGGGACACGTGCGGCACGTGTCTGAAGTTTCAAAAATATCGGTTCAGCCGTTCTCCAGCTTTGCGAACACTAAAAAAACGGCTTTCAAAATATGTATTAGTAAAGATTACATTGCCTAATAAAATAATTTGCAATGGCATTCGTACATGGCAATTACAAGTTCATATTACGGAACAATAGTAAACGGAAAACATATACAGGGTGTCCCAGAAGTAACGTGCCAAACTTTAGTGGAAGGTAGGTGGGGCGGTGAGCTCTCCGATAAACAAAAAATTTTCAAGTAAAAGTGTCACCGTTTTTGAAATATTTACATTTTTTTGAACTAAAAAAAATCTCGTATTTGCACACACATGCTCTGCTCACACACACGCCAGAAACACATTCAACTTGCACTCACTGCTCATACACATGTGTGTGCATAAGTGGAAAACAAACTCTGCTCACAGAAAAGTGTGTGCTGTTTGTTATTAAGCACATGCACATGTGTGTGAGCCGATTTTTGTACAAATTTCAGCCCATGCACATGCACATAATATATTTTTAAAAGAATTACCATACGCATTATTTCGGTTTTAAACCGAAACTGTGCATGTATGCATTACTTCGTTTTTTTTCATATGCATTATTTCGCTTTTAAAACGAAAGTATGCATATGCATAATTTTGGTATTTTCTCATATGCATTATTTCGGTTTTCAACCGAAACTGCATGTATGCATTACTTCGGGTTTTTCATATGCATTATTTCGGTTTTCAACCGAAACTGTGCATGCATGCATTATTTCGGTTTTTGTTATATGCATTATTTCGGTTTTCAACCGAAACTGTGCATGTCTGCATACCTTCGCCTTTCACATATGCATTATTTCGGTTTTCATCCGAAACTGTGCATGTATGCTTTATTTCTGTTTTTGCCATATACATTATTTCGGTTTTGAACTGAAATTGTGCATGCATGCATTATTTCGGTTTTTGTTATATGCATTATTTCGGTTTTCTAACGAAAGTGTGCATATGGATAATTTCGTTTTTTCTAATATGAATTATTTACTTCTACTTAGTAAGGGTTTTAATCCCTAAGCGCGGCTGAAAGCCGCGTACGCAGAGAAAAGTTCTGCGCAAAAATACTTCCGCCCTTCTTTTCCGGCAATACAGAAAGGAGAATTCTACTTAGTAAGGGTTATAATCCCTAAGCGCGGCCGAAGGCCGCCTACGCAGAAAGAAGTTCTGCGCAAAAATACTTCCGGCCCCCTTTTCCGGCAACACAGAAAGGAGAATTCTACTTAGTAAGGGTTATAATCCCTAAGCGCGGCCGAAGGCCGCCTACGCAGAAAGAAGTTCTGTGCAAAAATACTTCCGGCCCCCTTTTCCGGCAACACAGAAAGGAGAATTCTACTTAGTAAGGGTTATAATCCCTAAGCGCGGCCGAAGGCCGCCTACTCAGAAAGAAGTTCGTTTTCATGTATGCACTATTTCGGTTTTTGTCATATGCATTACTTCGGTTTTGAGTCGAAACTGTGCATGTATGCATTACTTCGGTTTTTGTCATATGCATTATTTCGGTTTTG